TCTCTCTCTCTCTCTCTCTCTCTCTCTCTCTCTCTCTCTCTCTTTCGTACTCTGCAGATACTGAGAAGTCAGGTAGCAAGAGGGTGAGGAAGAGATGGTGGACTTAGAAAAGGAAGAAGCAGAACTCTCTCTCGCTCTCAGTCCGGTACTAACCTGTGAAGGTGGCACCTTGTTGCAGGTACATCGAAGACGAAGGTGGAGCTATGGCGCCACAGGTAAGTCTCCCTGGCCTCCGCCAACCCTCTCCCTCTCTCTCCAACGCTACTCTAGCTCCTATTAGCGCCCAGCATTGAAGGCTACTCCTAACGCTACTACTACTACTGCAGCGCTCCTCCAGAGTGCTGCTGCTGAATCATGAAGACTGCCTCCTGCCTCCTCCATGTGAAAAGCCCGTGAACTGCCCGGGAAGTCCCTATGAGCTACCTGCCTAAATGCCTGCCGGACGAGTTCTTTATAGTGCTGGTCCGGCTAGGAGGCTGCTCTTGCCCATGCCGAATCGTGCCAGACCCTGGCACTGAAGTCCAAAAAAAGGTTGTCTTGAAACGGCCCTAAGAATGGCCTGCGCTTATCCCTGGTCTGGCACCTAAGTTTCAGGGGAGGTCGACTTGATGAGGGCCTAAGATTCGGCCCTCCTTTTGAGGCTGAAAAGACTCAGGGTCCGGAGGGGCCTTTTTAGGCTGAAACGTCACAGGGCCCGGAGAGCCCTTACTTTTGCCTGGTTGGGTCCTGCAGGGCTCGTGTGGTGAGTAGCATGCCACACTCTTCCTTTTCTGCCCATCAACACGGCTTAAATTTTCAGCTACCATCTCCACAGTGCCAAGGTCTTTCTGGAACTGTGTTCTACGCTGACTCCTCGAATGAGAAGTATCACATCATCCATTTGTCAGTTTATACATAGAAGGCGGAGAAGGAAGGGTCGAGGGGAGATGTCCTGGCAGACAGCAGTTAAGATGCCCAAGAAGGGATGCATCAGGGTTGGTGGGGATGTGGGAGAACAGTCAAGGGGAAATGGGATTGGGGCTGGGGGGAATGACCAGGAAGGGAGGGGCCTGGTGTTGGCGAAGGAGCAGAAGGGGGTCAGAAGAGCAGAAGATGGGGTGGGGGTAGGCGGGGCTGGGTCGGGCCAGGCCGCGATCGGCCGGGGGAGGACCCCATCGAGGCAGAGGAGAAGATGGAGCCTTTGGCTGACCAGGGACAGGATCAGGGATGTGGTTAACGGAGACCCCATGTTTTCAGCGTATGGGTCACCCTTTGAGCACCGACCACTAGTGGTTAACGGGGACATGCCGGAGACGACTGGAGGAGCAGGGAAGCATAACAAACCGGGAAGGACGGGGTGAGGAAAGTTGGCCTCGGGGACAACAAAGGAGGGAGGAGCAAGGTAGTGGCTGGAAGGGGGTGGACGGAATCGGGTTTGTTTCAGGGGGGGGGGGGGGGG